GAAAGAATTTTTCTTTTACTTTTCAAAGAGAAGAATGAACTGGGGTGGGGAGGGCTGGGCAGGGAGGAAAATGAAACAATGAATGAATGGAAATCCAAAAATCTCAGTAAATGTTCATTAAAGTTAATAAAATAAAATTAGAAGAAAAGAAAGGTTCATGTCATCTAATCTGAAAAGTTAATTTACTTTTTTTTCCATCATAGTGGCATCCACTTTCATAAATAGCTTGCCTCTGAAAACCCTATGAACCTGGAGAAAGGATGAAAGTCAAGGACTTTCATTCATAGGGTCAATATGAATCACCAGTGACATGACGGCACTTAACAACATAGAGAGAGACCAGTTGGCCTAGTGGACCGAAAGTGATGCTACCAAGCCAAAGGTGAGTGACTCTAATCCGCGGCCCTAAGGTCTGTCATTAATTGGTTTTGGTGAAACATTCTTCTCAGTCATATAGCTCTGGTGTGTCCACTTGCCATACAGAGGTAACTTGCGTTTGCTGTGAAGCTGAACACCATGACACTGACGTGTCAAATGTGATAATGGTTACCCATGGTGAACAGTGTTTAGTGGTGCTCCCTGGTTAAAACTAGCTTGGAAGCAGGAGTGGCATCCACTTCCATAAATAGCTTGCCTCTGGAAACCCTATGAACCTGGAGAAAGGATGAAAGTCACACAGGTGTCGAAGACTTTCGTTCATAGGGTCGCTATGAGTCACCAATGACTCGACGGCACTTAACAACAACAACATTAGTTTGCTTACAAAGTTCATATACATTGTGTTTCACACTATTCTTCATTCATGTTGTGTTTCATATAATCATTCCCATTTTTCCCATTTGTCTTGTTTTATAAAGTTAATAACCACTGGACCTTGCTCATCATTACCCTGTCTTTTCAGGTCCCAGCCAGATCCTTCCCATTCCCTTCACCCCCTCCTTCTACCCACCAAATTGTGCAACCCTGGGGTTTCACAGCTAACCATCCACACCCCTCTGCTTCACCCTTTGCCCCTTTTGGGCCCCACACATGTTTTACTAGTTATCCTTCTATTTTTACAATGAAGGTCTTATGCAGTATTTCTTCTAATGAGACTGAGTTAGTGTGTCCAGCATAATGCTGTCCAGCCTCTCCTAAGTTATGTAGTATTTTTCAAAATTGTTGTTCCTGAGTGCTGCATAGTATTCCATTGTGTGAATGTACTACAATTTCTCAATCCATTCAGTTGTGGTTGGACATTTGGGCTGTTCTTGCAAGGGTGAATAACACTGCTATGACCATTGGTATACAAATCTCCATTTGCGTCTCAGTTCTTATTTCTTTAGAATATATTCCTAGTAGTGTAAGCAATACTCTAAATCACTGGGAATAAGAGAGATGCAAATCAAAACCACAAAGAGATGCCATCTCACCCCACTAGAAGTGACAAAATTTAACAGCACAGCAAACAATAAATGATGGAGAGGATGTGGAGAGGTGGAATTTCCACACGCTATTGGTGGGACTGTAAAATGGTGCAACCACTCTGGAAGGCAGTTTGGAGTTTCCTCAGAAAGCTGAACATTGAAACTGCGTATGACCCAGCTATTTCACTGCTTAGTTTACTTATTACAAAGAATCAGCTCAACAGAAGTAGATAGCGAGGATCAGCTTCTCTCACGAACATGGAGGCGAATGTCTGAGCTCTAAACATCCAGGTTAATTCATTGCTCACTGCTGCTGAGCAGCAAATGATTTATTCTTTCTTTTTCTTCTACAAGCCCAACTAAAAAGAACTTTAAAAAGGAAACACTGGAGGAGGGGTAGACAGGGAGAAAAGTGCAACAGTGAATGAATGGAAATCCAAAGTCTCTGTAAATTTTCATTGGAGGGGGAAAAAGGAAACACCACTATTTACAATCCTCTTTCCTGATATCTCCAAGGAATATAATCTCTTGAACTTTTTTCCGATTATTTTAGCACAGGACAATATTATATAAAATAGAGTGAGCTTAAGAAAATTCAGTATAAAACAAGGCAAAACATTTTCTTTGGTTTTCATGTTAGTAGCCAAGTTGGGGGGGGAATTAATTAAAATTTTTAAAAAGTTATATACCCACACTGTCCTTGGAAAAAAGAATGTTGCGTGGCAAGAGACCAGAGAGGTCTTCTTCTTAAGTGCTACTAAGTAAAGTGCTGCTTGAATGAGATACCTTGTTCTTTTTGTACATTTTTTATATATCCTTAAGGAGAAGGTAGACTTAACCTTAAAGCGATATATATATATATATATAATTGTATAAAACACAATGTCTGTAAGTGAAACTCAGTGTAAGTGAATGATTGTATGCAACCATTTTGTTTAAGCTATGTGAGTCTACAAACAGAGTTTCTAAAGTTTCTATATTGCCACAGTAACTTGATAGATCCAATTTGTTAAGAAATCCACATAGCTCAAGTTGTAATGTTTGCTCCTCAAGCTTTCTGATCAGAGCATTCTGCCTCATCATAGCACTCAATGAAAATCAAATTAACAGGAGATGTAGAACTCACTGAGATCATCAAAATCACGGAGAAGAAGAGGGACAGGACAGAGAAGTAGATATTAAGTCGCTTCCCACCAAAGCGCTTCTTCAGATACTCCGGACTGGTCACCACCTAGAAACACAAAACAATAAAGATTCAGCACATTTGGATCCTCCTACATTTACTAAGCACTGCCAGGTGGTCACATGCTGTGCATGGCAACTTGGGAACACAAAAAAGAGAAGAAATGACCCCTTGGGAGAGCAGCAAAGCCCAGGAGTTAGGGTCAGAGAATTTTTTAATGTATTCTCAGCGCACATAACAACAACAACATCCTCAGCGCTGACATTTACAGTTTTATCAGACTCCGACCACTCTGCCCAGTCTCCAATGCCAATCTACAGTCTAGCCCTAGTCTCTGGGCTTCAAATGAACTGAATGCCATATTGCATACTTCAGCAACTATTTTTACCTTTTACTATATGGAACTGTCCTCCTCAATAATGTCCTGAGCACCATAAAAGTAGCTACAGAGTTGGTTGGGCATGCCACGCCACATGCTTCTGCACCTATTTTTACCAACATTGGGCCCAATGTTCACTGCAAGACTCACAGACTTTACTCAGTTGTAGGGTTTAGTAGGGAAATAGGTTGGAGAGTGGGGAGGCAAAGGATATCCTATATTTAGTCCAGCAGTCCCAAGCCAGATTAACCAGGCACAATTCCTCTACTAGTGTAAGTCCAGGTTCAGTTCAACAGCACAAAAACAAGAAACCTCTGGCTTCCTCAATCATTCAACAAATTTTATCTCAGAGCGGTTACAAATCAGCTTTTCCTTCAGTTATCCAGAAAGCAAAACCTTTAGCCATGGCCTTTATCTTCAAGGTCCCTCAGGTTACACCATGTCAAGTTTCTTCACAGCAATGCCGTCATCTCTTCACAATCTCTCCTCCATCGTCACCACCATTTCTCACAGTGTGGAAAGCATGCTCTTAAATTGGCCCGACATGATTTACAAGACCATGTATCTGCAATTAAGGTAGCTGGAGACCATGCTTCCCCACAAAGGGGGCTAATGCAATGGCTAAAAAAGCCAATTTTCAAGGGTTCTGACACTTTACCCTCATGAACCATAAGTACACTTGACCTCCCAAATTTGAAATCTTTTCATGATTTACAATCTCTCTTTACTGTTTGCTCCAATCTTCCATAATCTCACTTTTCTACCTATAGAATTAACACTTACTCCTCAAAACTAGACTCAGGTAATCACTGAAGCTCATTTCTTGAAGCCCATGTCTGGTCCATGGCTTCCTGAACCAGGCTGGGTTCAACTCTATTACCGTCGTTGGTCATGGCCATCAATGATTTATCCTTTGCTGCAGGCACAGTATACACTGAGAGTCTCTTGAGGGAAAGGAACTGGGTCTTGGTCGTCTGTATATTTATAGAAATAGACTAAACAAATGCCAGTTTCCTAAGCATCATTACTGAGCAGACGGAATGAATAAATGAATGGATGAAATGCACCAGAAAGATGGGCACTGTTGAAGATACTTACCCCTGCCTTGATGTATATGGGGACAAAAATCCACCCTAGAACCAGCAACATCACTAAAGCCTGCAGGAAGAAAGAAGGGAGCAAAGTTTAAAAGATTTGTTGTAGATCTTAGCATTTTATAAAATCTGAGTGTGGAAAAAACCCAGTTTGTTTGCATTCAGCACACACCATCCTATTATGTCTCCTAGACACAGTAGCAAGTGACTAAGGATGACAGAAAAAGAATCGATGCCTTTACATTCTGGTGCTGGAGAAGAGTCTTAAGCATACCATGGGCCGCCAAGAAAATAAATAGGTCTGTCTTGGAGAGGGTGAAACCAAGTTTTTCCTTAGAGGCTAGGATTTTGAAGTTCTGTCTAACTTACTTTGGGCTTGTGGTCAAGAGCGACTGGTACTTGGAGTAGGACATCATGCTTAAAAGGGTGGAGGGAGAACACAGGAGAGGAAGACTCTGGATGTGAAACAGTAACTGGAGAAATGGGGGTTGGTGTGTCAGAATTAGTGAGATTGGCTCAGGACAGGGCCAGGTTCAGAACTGCTGTACAGTTATGGGTTACAGGTGACTCAACAGCACATAACAACAACAACAGACAGAAACTTTAAATTCCTTTCTTGTTTCCATGATTCAGAGGTCACAGTGCCTAGGAACTCAACATATGGCAAAAGATGTGTAGAGAAAAATGGATAGAAGATAAATGACAACATATGTGTAGAGAAAAACTAATAAAGAGAATCAGATCCCAGCTTGGATCTTTGTCAAAATAAAATAACCTTGGAGCGGTAAGGTCTAAGTAGGGTGAAAAGTAATAAGAGAAAGGTTGAAGATAATAATCTTTATCTCTTTCCCTATCTTGATGAAACATAATGATGTTTCTATAATCTTGTATTGATATGTAATATTTACAGAGAGCCATCCTGTATGCTGATTTCACAAGATCCAGGTGGAGTAGCTACAATAAAGGATCTAGTCTTGTCTCATGGAGAGGAAACCTGAGGCTAATAGAGATAAAGAAGTCTAAAGTCACATGCTATAAAATGTTCAGCTGGAGACCATGCAGCCTCGTAATCACCTGTACTCAGCCACGGGGCATTTCTATCCATGTAATTGATAGTAAGAGCCAACCCAGGATCTTTTCTATTTTCTAAGAATAACTAGGGGCAAAATATCCAACAGATGCAGGCATTTATAACTCAAGGTCAAGTGTTGGCTTGATTATACTTCCACTATCATCAATACATATTCTCCTATGTAAACATCTCCCTATGGTTGTATAAATGCTTGAAATGATGAGGACAGACTCAACCACCTCAAGAAATACCTAAGGCACATTCATCACGTACACAGCCATGTGTAGAATGATGGAAGATTACGAGTGGGAGAGAAAAAATCGTCTCTAGTCTTAAAAAATTTAGAGTCTGTTTAGGAAGATACAGTGTCTACTGGTAAAATGACATTAAGACACTTGGTAAATCAATCATAAAGTCTTGCAGATCGTAGCTATAATCTCTTGTGTCATTCATGCTTCACTGACTAAGTCATACCCCACCTCTTATCCCCATCTGTGAAATACACTCACTACACAAAAGTTGACCTTCTGTGAAGTAAACTCATTATGGTCTACTGAATGCACATATGAACTGCCACAGGGATGTAAATTCTTCAAAAGAAAGGAGTATGGTTTTAATTTATTTGTTGCTGTTGTTGTTGTTGCTATCATACTTTGCATCTTATTCAGAACTAGACCTGTAGTGTAATTAGTTCAGAAAGGAGAGAAATAATTCAGAGGTGAAGTGGTCATAAAGTTCAAGTGAAAATGGCCTTGAATCAGATAGAAATGGCATTCCTGATGGTAATAACTACATAAGCAAAAGCTTAGAAGAAGAAAATTGTGTGAGGTCATATGTCTTTAGGTCTCCATGGTAAAAAACAAAGGTGGGGGGGGGGGAGAATGGATGAGGAGGAGGTAAAAATAGAAATCAAACCGAAATATAATTTCTCATATACAGACTTTTGGGAGGGGGAAAAAATGTAAAAAGACTTCATTGAAAATAAAAAATCATGATGTGACTTACATTCCATTCCAATGCTGCAATAGCGATGCCTGAGGCTGCTCCAGTCCCCGCCATGCCCACAAAGTGGTTACTGCCGATGTTACTGGCAAAAAGGGAAGCACCCATCTGGAATCCAAGAAAACAGGATCAGAAATTAAAGACTCAAACCAAAATTCTTGTAAATAACCAATAGATGGGAGGCTTCCTTTGCTAATCCTTGTTGGGTTTGCTTCTGCTGCTGTTGCTATTGTTGTTGCTGTTGTTGTTGTTATGTGTCATCAAGTCAGGTGGCAAATTATGATTGTGCATTAAATCTGCCGTTTACTTGTTTGTGTGGCCCTTAACCTGCTGTTGTTGCTGTTAGGTGACATCACCAGGTCTGAACATTGCCCTGTTTTATGCTATACTAATTATCTCAGTCCTGCTCAAACTCACTATGTCAGTCCGTCTTGTTGGGGGTCTTCCTCAATTTCACTGAATCTCTACCTTTCCCAGCATGATGTCTACATCTAAAGACATACATCAATGCTTGACAAAAATAGCCCCTAGTCTATGAATGGTTTTTACATGCTTTGCTATTTTAAAAAATCTAGAGAAGAAGAATGTTTTGTGAAAGTTCTATCAATATTAAAATTTTAATATGCATACATAATATTTTATTGTAACACAGTCACACTTAATTGCTTATTGTTGATTTGGTGAATCAATTACTCATCATTTTTGTTCTAGCCACAATATCACCATATGACTGAATAGAATTGTGCAAATTTGAGTTATCTGTGTCCCACCAATGAGACTGGAAAGTATAAATAAAATAAATGGCACACTTCCACACTTCCACTGGGATCAGGCAAATAGTTTGTATAGAGCACTAACATAGGGATTAGTCACTTTTGCCATCCCACCAGACTTAAACTGAGCCATAGCAGAATCACATTACAATCCAGAAAGAAGAGTCAAAGAGTGTAGTGAATTTTTGAGCCTGAGATATTTATGCTAATCAGGAACTGAGTGCTGTAAACTGGAGACGTGGCTTAAGACCATGAAAATCAATACAACATGGCATGAGAGCAGATGATAGAAGCTGTGGTGGCAAATGAAGTGACAGAAATGATGAAACCAGTATAAGACAGTGCTCTGAGATCCCATTTCACAGAACATTGAGTGTTTGCTGGTGGAGTAATTACCTTTGGAGAGCAAGATTGTGGACCACAAATCTAGAGCTGAGCATCTTCCAGGCTAGGCTTGTGGACAGAGTGGGGTTACCACTGGATACTTAATTGCCAAAACTAAAAGTACTTTACTAGATTTGCCAAGCAGGGTAGAAGCTAAAACAACCAGTCTGAGGATCAAAGAGGGAGAAAAGCTTGCCTATTCACATGGTTTAGGAGAGACTGCCATCCAACTGAAGCACTGTATCCTGAGTTGTTCCTGAATCCGAATTGTGACTTGTTACTTTTCTTATTTATCCCATAATCATGGATGTTCCCTCTGAGTTCTTTGTGGTTGTTGCAATGAATTATTAAACTCAATAAGAAATAGGAAGTGATGTGGAAAAGGCAGATGCAAGAATTGCAAAAAAGTTTAGAATGTGACTTGAGGAAGGAATTTCTGACCTCATAGAAATTGGCTGTGAGCTGGTGATGCTCATCAATAGATGTCATAACCTAGGATTCATCCTCTCGTGAAGTGAATAAAAGGCAGAAGCTGAAGCCCCCTTACTCACTATGTTTTCACTATCAAAAACTCTTTTGTCCTAGAACAACAGCATTGTGTCTTGTGGTCCAAAGAGTATGTGGCTCAAAAAAATTGTCAATATTTATAATTGGGCACCTTACAGAAAAAATCTTGCCAATTGTTGCCTTAAGAGAGCACTGACTGACCTATCTACCTCCAACCCAGAAAAAAGCCTGTTCTTACCCAAGAACTTTAAATCTTTCATCAATTTCTGCTCTTCTAATAAACTAAAAAAACCCACAGTTGAAGAGTAATAACATCTCTCTCCAGTATCCTAGTTCTGGATACTTCTTCCCACGCATCACGTTTTCCATTGCATCACCTCCCCAAAGTCTCTCAATAACAAATGAGTGGACAAGAAGGAGTCCTACTCCTGACAGACCTGCAATGAGGTGTAAGGCCCCAGCAGTAACTACTCCTCAAGTGCACAGCTCTCTATTCTTATCTCTCCAGCCCTCTGTAAAATTCACCTTTCCTACTCAGACATATGTGATTGAAACTTATCTCTTAATATTTCCTAAAAATAATCCAGATCACCAAAGAAAATACTGTCTGATTGGACACCAAAAGACTTCCGTATCTCTGTCTGATTCACTTAACTTAGCACTCTCCCTACAACCAGACACTTTAAGCGCTTTAAAAGAGAAGTCGCATCTTCTGCTACAATCAGAGACCCCCCCAAAAAAATAGCTGGACATCAGCTGGACAAAAGTTAAAAGGACTTGGTATTAGTATCACCAAAGGGAAACACACAATCCATTATCAGCTATAATATTTAAGACCACATATGTAAAGGTAGGAAGAATGTCTAGTTGTGTTTTACTGACTATGTAAAAGCATTTGACCCTGTGGATCATAACAAATTATGGCTAACATTGAGAAGAACAGGAACCCCAGATCACTTAGTTGTGCTTATGTGAAATCTATATCTAGACCAAGAAACTGTTATTCAGAGCAAGGATATACTACTTCAAAATTAAGAAAGGTGTGTGTGAGGTCTGTATCATTTACCCATACCTATTCAGTCTTATGCTGAGAAAATTATTCAAGAAGTTGTACTCTATAAAGAAGAATGTGGCATCAGGATTGGAGAAAGACTCATCAGTAACTTTTGATATGCAGATGACACAACTGTCTTGTTGAAAGTGAAGAGGATCACTTGCTGCAGAAGATCAAGCACTGTAGCCTTCGCTATGCATTACATCTCAACATTAAGAAAAAATTCTCACCACTGGACCAATAGGCAACATTATGATAGATGGAGGAAGGACTGAAACTGTCAATGACTTCATCTTACTTGAATCCACAATCAATATGCTTGTTATTAGCAGTTAGGAGATCAGGAGACATGTTACACTGAAAAAGTCTGTAGTCAGGAACCTCACCAAATTGCTGAGAAGCAATGATGTTATTTTGAAGACTAAGGTGAGCCTGAATCAGACCATGATCTTACTGTGCTGCTTACAGCTGGATAATGAATTGGATGAGAGAAGAAGCATTGATGCCTTTGAATTGTGGTGCTGGAAAAGAGCCCAGGGATTGCCAAAAGAACAAACGTGTGTCTTGGAGAAGGTGCGGCCAAAGTGATCCTTGGAGGCAAAGATGGTCAAGCTTCATCTCACATAATTTAGATGTGTTGCTAGGAGACGCTATTGCTAAGAGAAGAACATCATCGTGCTTGGAAAGATGGAGGGTTGAGAAAGGAGAGGAAGACCCTCAACCAGGTAGACTGACACAGGGACTATGGCAATGGGCTTGAAAGTGTCAGAGATTCACAGGACGGCACAGTATAGCACAAGATTCAGAACTGTTGTTCATAGAGTATCTCTGAATTTTACTTGACTCAATGGCACCTAAAAACATTACCAAAAGGGTAGAAATATGCATGAGGCTTTCAGTTGAAGAAACTCTTGACTGAGGGTTAATGGAAAACACCCAGAAAGGTTGACTATATCCAAACAAGATGGGCTGAATTAGCTCATGATTGGGACAAAGAAGGGATGTACCAGGGTAATTACGAATGTAAGGTAGAAAATTAATTAAAAGAAAAAGGGAGAACAGAACTAAGGTAATAAATAAGGTAATAAAAATTAATAAATAAGGTAATGGTAATAGTAATAAAAAAACAAACCAACCAACCAAACGCGTTGCCATCTGGTTAATTCTGACTCAATGGGCTTTCAAGTTTGTAAATCTTTATGAGAGGAAACGGTCTCCTCTGTGCTCTGGAGTGGCTAGTGAGCTCAAACGACTGAATCTTCAGCAGATTAAAACAACACTGAATTGACTACGCCACCAAGGCTTCTTTTGAAAAAAGAATGAGGGTCGTCAAATTCCAGAAGTTTGTGCTTAAAAATGTTGATGACAAAAATAGACAGCTAATGTATTTCAATAAGCATCATTATTAGCCTATGTTCTTCATGCCCTTTCATATATATTCTCTTTCTCCTTCCCTCTTCCCCCTTCCTCCCTCCCTCCCTGGTTCCCTCCCTCTCTCCCTCCCTCCATCCCTTCCTCCCTCTTTTTTCTCCCCTTTCCCGTCTCTCTCTCCTTTCTTTCTTTCTTTCTTTCTTTCTTTCTTTCTTTCTTTCTTTCTTTCTTTCTTTCTTTCTTTCTTTCTTTCTTTCTTTCTTTCTCTTTTTCTCTCTTTCTTTCTTTCTTTCTCTCCCCCCTTCCCTCTCTCCCTCCCTTCCTTTCTCCTCTATGCTTTCTCCCCTCTCCCTTCTACCCTCTCCACTTTCTCTCCCTCTCCCCCTCCTTCCACATTCTGCCCCACCTACCATTAAGTCTTGACTCATAGTTGACCTGCTATTGGGTTTCTAAAAATATAAATCACACAAGGGGGAGATTGCTCATTTTAAAGGAGCTACTGGTGTATTCAAACCACCAAGAGAGGTACAGCATTTGAGTTAGCAGTTTAACTTCTACTAAATAAACCACCATATTTAATTTCAAGACATGTCAGCCCACTTACTGGCCACCAGGAGATTTCTCGACCAGCCAGGAAGAAGCCTCCTACAGTGCTCCTATTGGTCTTCAGCATGGCCTGAGCAGAAAGGAAGACAGATGAGGGTCAGTTCAGACACATGTGGGATGCCTGGACACGCTGCTGATAGAAAGTACTGCTTCGGCACTTCTAAAGAGGAGATGATTTCCTGGAAGCTGTTGTGCAACTCAAGTCCTGCTTAAGGACTTTATCAACAGTATTGTTGTTGTTGCTGTTGTTGGTTGTTGGTTGTTGGTTGTTGTTAGGGCACGTGGCCAAGAGAGATCAGTCTTGGAGAAGGACATCATGCTTGAAAGGGTGAAGGGACAGCGCGCTAGAGGAAGAACCCTATGAACAACAGATATGAATTTCTCTATCCAGTACCCTTTTCACAATCTCAGCCTCTTGGTATAGTCATTGTGTTGTTAAAAACCCAGGCTAGGAAGGAATTTGAGAGACCACACTTCTCAATTCTTGTCATAAATTCTCTGTGTATTTTTATTTACTCAAAGTGAAATACCATTAACACTGGGCTTAAAAGAAAATTTGCAGCCTCAACTTTATTACTAAAAGGGAAGAATGAGAGTATGAAAGATTGAAAGAAGAATGAAAGATTAAGCACCCAAGTCAACAAGGTGAAAGAAAGTGAGCAGACAACAAAGAAAAAGAAAATTGTTAAGATGATAAAAATAAAGTTCCTATTCACTCATACTAGTCACTGGAGGTGACAATTAGAAGTCTATTGTTCCCAGTCTTCTCTTCAAAATAGTGCGACTTCTAGGAGAAGAAAAGGAATCCAGAATTAAGTGTAATTCTTATTATTATCACACATGTACACAATGACTTTTATGGAAAGATGGAGAAATGTCTGACAATTCTTGGTTTCACTCCACATCCCTCCCTCCATAGAATACCTTTACTCCAGTCTTCGTGCCCACTCTAAGTAATTAGTGAGCTCTCACATACCCAGAACCCAACTGCCATCACCACCACAAAATAGATGACAATGACAGAGATGTCAGCAGCATTTCTGATGCGCTCTGATACAGCAGGCTGCTCTGGAGTCACCGCTGTGGTGCTGGGACTTAACGTGCTGGCCATGGCTGCAGGCAGTCCTTCTGCCACCCACAGTGGTCCCTTCCTTATATAAGCACTGAGTTAATGATCAGCCACAGAGAAGGCACAATGTCAGAGCTGGAGCATGGCATCAGGACCTTTAAACCTATTCTTTGAAGCAGAGTTCTGAGGCCTCAGCTCTCCAGCAATCATTGCTGGTCTAAGCAGAAGCTGAGAATGAGATATAAAGGTCCAGAATTTAAGTAAGAATTGAAGGTGAAGGTACAGAGTCCCTGAGTAGAAGACTTAAATAACACCCAGGTATGTGCTGGAGAGGGTGAAATCAGGCTGCTCCCTAGAGGCAAGAATTCTGAAGCTCTGTCTCATGTATTTTGGGCACGTGGCCAGGAGGGACCAGTCCTTAGAGAGGGACATTATGCTTGGTAGGTTGGAGGGACAGCACAGGAAAGGAAGACTCAGAATGAGATGGATTGACTCAGTGACTGGAGAAATGGGATTAGATCTGTCAGAGCTGATGATACTGGTCCAGGATACGGCAAGGTTCAGAGCAAAATGTGCATAGGATTGCTATGCGTCACAGGCGACTCGATGGCACAGAACAACACCACCATCCATAAACAACCAACATATATGTTAGAAATGCCAAAAGAAATGTTAGTATGCCAAAAGAAAGATACTACCAAATTGGCGAAGAGGGGTTAAAACTATCTCTGTATGCTGATGATATGATAGTACAATTGTTGTTGTTGTTGTTGTTATGCGCCATCGAGTCACTTGCGACTCATAGCGACCCTATATATACAAGAGCTCTAAACACTCTTTTATCCTGTGCCAATCTAGCCATCTCAAACGCACTTATTCCCACTGCTCCAGTCACAGAAGGTCTTCCTCTCCTTCGCTGCCCCTCCACTCTGCCAAGAAAACAATTAGACATCATTGACCAATTTAGCAATGTTGCAGGATATAAAATCAGCATACAAAAATCAGTTCAATCTCTCTATAGTGACAAAAAGAATATTGAAATGGAGGTAAGAAAAATAATACCAATTACAATAGATAATCACAAGATTAAACACTTGGGGACAAATATAACTAAAGACACAAAAGACCTATACAAAGAAAATTACCCAATATTGCTACAAGAAACAAAAAGAGACCTAGATAAATGGAGGGATGAATCATGCTTGTGGATAGGAAGACTCGTGCAATATCATACAATTCACAAACAGATACCAATTCCATTCTTCAATGAGGTGGAAAAGGCAATTTCCAATTTTATTTGGAATGGAAAAAGACCCCAAATGAGTAAAACACTATTACAGGAAGCATCATACTTCCTCATCTCAAATCATACTCCAGAGCCATGATGGTCAAGACAGCATGGTACTAGTAAAGAAATAGACACATAGATCAATGGAATAGAATTAAGAACCCAGAAACAAGCTTATCTACATATGGTCAACTGATAATTGAAAAGGAGATGAAATTAGTTCAGTGGGGAAACAAATGGTGTTGGCAAAATTTGAAAAGTATCAGCAGAAAACTTAAAGAAGACTTACACCTCACACCATAAACAAAAACCAGCTCAAGGTGGATCAGGGACCTAGGAGTAAAGCCAAAGACTATGAAGTCATCAGAGAACATCTAGGAACAACTCTAGAAGGCTTAACCCACAGCATGAACAGACTTCTAAGGATAATGAAACACTTAGAAGCAGGAGAGAATAAAATAAAATGGGACCTTGTAAGAATCAAATCCTTATTGTTGTTGTTGTTGTTATGTGCCGTCGAGTCGCCTGCGACTCATAGCGAC